GGAGTAGCGGGGCTGCTGTGTTGAGGATTTCTCAGTCAAGCTTCCTGTTTTATAGAAGGGCTATCTTAGTTGTCTAGTGCGGCTGTAACAGCAAGTGGGTGGCTTTAACAAACAGAAATTTACTCTCTCACAGTCTAGGAGGCTAGAAGTCCGAATTCAGGGTGCTGGCTCTGCGGGAAGGTCCTTGTCGTCTCTCTTCCCCTGGTCTAGGAGCTTCTCAGCTCAGCAATCCCAGGTCTAAAGGACGAGCTCCGCTCCCAGCTCTTCTTTCTTGATTGTATGAGGTCCCTCTCCTCTCTGCTCGTTTCTCTCTTTTACCTCTCAAAACAAACTGACTCAAGATACAACCTAATCCTGTAGATTGGGTCCTTCCTCATTAACATAACTGCCTCTAATTCTGCTCATTAACACGTAGAGGTAGGATTCACAACACATAGGATAATTACATCAGATCATAACATGGTGGACGACACACAATATTAAGAATCATGGCCTAGCGAAGTTGACACATATTTGGGGGGACACAATTTAATCCATGACAGGGACCACGGTAGGTCTGAAATTTAAAATAAAGATGGGAAAAAAATCTTAAAAAAAATGAGAGTGGGTAGCTGGGAGGTTCCTGGGTGGCACTAACAGTTTGCGCTTGGCTGCTAACTGAAAGGTTGGTGGTTTGAACCCACCCAGCAGCACCTCAGAAAAAAGGCCTGGCAGTCAGCTTCTGTAAAGATTGTTGTCAGGTGCCGGCAAGTCGGTTCCGACGCACAGCAACCCTGCGTACAACAGAACGAAACACTGCCTGGTCCTGCACCATCCTCACAATCGTCGCTATGCTTGAGCCCGTTGTTGGAGCCACTGTGTCAATCCATCTCATTGAGGGTCTTCCTCTTTTTCACTGACCCTCTACTTTACCAAGCATGATGTCCTTCTCCAGGGACTGGTTCCTCCCGATAACATGTCCAAAGTATGTGAGACGAAGCCTCACATAAGGCACATTCTGGCTGTACTTCTTCCAAGACAGATTTGTTCATTCTTCTAGCAGTCCATGGTATATTCAATATTCTTCACCAATACCACGATTCAAAGGCATCAATTCTTCAGTCTTCCTGATTCATTGTCCAGCTTTCCAATGCATATGCAATTGAAAACACTGTGGCTTGGGTCAGGTGCACCTTAGTCTTCAAGGTGACATCTTTGCTTTTTAACACTTTAAAGAAGTTTTTTGCAGCAGATTTTCCCAATGCAATGTGTCTTTTGATTTTTTTTTTTTTTATTATTATTATGCTTTAAGTGGGAGTTTTCAGGTCAAGTTAGTTTCTCATACAAAAATTTATACATACATTGTTATGTGACCCTAGTTTCTCTCCCTATACTGTGACAGCACACTTCTCCTTTCCACCACTGATTTCCTGTGTCCATTCGACCAGCTCCTGACCCTCTCTGCCTTCTCATCTCACCTCCGGACAGAAGCTGCCCATTTAGTCTCATGCATCTACTTGAGCTAAAAAACAATCTCTTCACAAGTATCATTTTATGTCATAGAGTCCAGTCTAATCTTTGTCTAAAGAGTTGGCTTCGGGAATGGTTTCAGTTCCGGGCTAACAGGGAGTCTGTTGGGGGCATGTCTTCTGGGATTCCGCCAGTCTCAGTCAGACCATTAAATCTGTTTTTTTTTAAATTACAATTTGAGTTCTGCGCCCTACTTTTCTCCTGCTCTGTCAGGGACTCTGTTGTGTTCCCAGTCACGGCAGTCATTGGTGGTTGCCGGGCACCATCTAGTTCTTCTGGTCTCAGGCTGATGCAGTCTCTGGTTTATGTGGCCCTTTCTGTCTCTTTGGCTAATACTTTCCTTGTGTCTTTGGTGTTCTTCATTCTCCTTTGCTACAGGTGGGTTGGGGCCAATTGATGCATCTTAGATGGCCACTCACTAGCTTTTAAGACCCCAGATGCCACTCACCAAAATGGGGTGCGGAACATTTTCTTAATAAACTTCGTTATACCAGTTGACCTAGATGTCCCCTGAAACCATGGTCCCCAGACCTCCACCCCGCTACTCTGTCCCTCAAAGTGTTTAGTTATATTCAGGAAACTTCTTTGCTTTTGGTTTAGTCCAGTTGTGCTGACTTCCCCTATAGTATGTGTTGTCCTTCCCTTCACCTAAGATAATTCTTGTCTGCTTTCTAATTAGTGAATACCCATCTCCCTCCCCACCATTGTTACCATCAAAGAATGTTTTCTTCTGTGTTTAAACCTTTTCTTGAGTTACAATAGTCCTCTCATACAATATTTGTCCTTTTGCGACTGACTAATTTCACTCAGCATAATGCCTTCCAGATTCATCCATGTTATGAGATGTTCCACAGATTGATCATTGTTCTTTATTGTTGTATAGTATTCCATTGTGTGAATATACTATAGTTTGTTTATCCACTCGTCCATTGATGGGCACCTAGGTTGTTTCCATCTTTTTGCTATCGTGAACAGTGCTGCAGTGAACACGAGTGTGCATGTATCTATTCGTGTGACAACTCTTATTTCTCTAGGATATATTCCAAGGAGTGGGGTTGCTGGATCGTATGGTACTTCTGTTTCTAGTTTTTAAGGAAGTGCCAAATCGATTTCTAACGTAGTACCATTTTACATTCCTACCAGCAGTGTATAAGTGTTCTAGTCTCTCCGCAACCTCTCCAACATTTATTATTTTGTGTTTTTTAGATTAATGCTAGCCTTGTTGGGGTGAGATGGTATCTCATTGTAGTTTTGATTTGCATTTCTCTAATGGCTAATGATCGTGAGCATTTCCTCATGTGT